TTATACATTCTTGGTGGGTAAAGAACTCGGTAGAGCTACAATAGTGCATAGTTTTTTTGAGGTTGATCCTCTTAATTGCCTAAAACTGATACCAAATGGAAGCGTTGCCTGAGTGCAGTTTGTTTCTTCAAAAAAATGCGAGGATAAGAACTTAGTCACATTGGATCAATTAAAGTAAATTAAGATATGATGGAAACTGGGTTTCGAAGAATTCCCAAGTGATATATTTTTACATGACTTTCCATTTCGCAGGAAAAGTCGGTTGGAAGGAATTCGTGATGTGATCTCACCTGAAACCGAAGGAGGATTGCCGCAAAAGGAAGACTGTTGAAATGTACAAACAAGTCCTCAGCTCATATGAATGTGGGAAAAACTAAACTATCATTCCTTAGGTCAACTTGCGTGAGCTAGGATGACAAAGTTCTGATTCAAGTATAACTCGCTTCAGTCTTTAGATTTAATTATATATGATTAATATCGAATTGACAGGTTACAAAACTATCACCGGATACTGATTAAGAACTCTAAAAGCCTAGGTTGCTTAAATTCGTTGATATGAAGACGATTAACTGAGCTTCCAAGACTGTTAAATTTCACTCGTCATTAAGGCTCTCTTAATCCGGTCGGATTACAGTTTCACCTCGTTTGTCTCCTCTGAGTTCCCCACCGAGATTTGGCACCGGCAAATGCCATTGCGCCCTAGGACAGTTGTGGCTCATTCGGGGAGATATGTAGCTCCTGAATCACGCCTATAGTGTTATTTTCGATGAGGCAAACATGTGCTTTTCACTAAAATCGACGACATCATTATAAAAAAGTGAATAGGATTCGAGAACAACGATACAGCTTAAATAGGATTACATGCGACTGGCGTGCTAGATTCTTGTTGGTGATAACGCAAGGCAAACTCTTCTTTACATTCTCCTTACACATCTTTTGCTATACTTCCAGATAGTCAACTTCATGTATTCTAAATTTTTCACACAGAATCTAGACTCTTCGTGTCTGAAATAAGGCCACATATGATCAGAAGAGACCTTTCACTCTTCATCACTAGGAGCTACTAGCTTATAGTATTACTTTCCCAGCTGTATACCTTCAATATACCTGTTATTCCACTTTGGGCCTGGCGTATAGATGCTAAACTGAAGGTATAATGACATGGAATAAAATTTTCTTCCCACCTGAGCTTGTCCAGGCGATAGCAAAATACTGTTCAATATATCCTTTCGCCGTACGGAGTCGGTTTTGCTTCGTTTTCACGAGGTGTTTCGGTTTTAAGGTAGTCATTTTTGAAGGTATCCTGTACTGAGTCCTGTGTTGCGGCTGATCTGTCTTCGGTCAGAGGTCCGAGGCCTGAAGGTGATAGGAAAACTATGACCGCATGGAGCAAACTATGGGATATGCTTGACCTTGTTCAGGCAACTTGGACGTATTTTCAGAAAGGGTTATGGGAACTCACCTTGCCAACATTCTATAGTATAGGTAATAATTTCCAACGTCCAACCGTGTACTTGGTACATTCACATTGAAAATTATCCAGACAAAGTGCTTTTATGTTCCCTGATAATAAGACCATGTTGAGAAGACAAGGTCAAACCGCTTCTATACGACGAAAGAGGTCGAAATCATACTAAAAGCCACAGCCTCTTGGTCTTCACACATTTGATCAAACTCTGGGATATGTTTTTCGAAGTTTTCTTAAAACTATGATTCAACTGTGAAAATATAGTTGAATCAACTCAAAAAACAAACTTGCTTGTACTTGATAATTGTTACTTGATACTCTGCATAATTTTCGTTATGTCACCAAAACGTGTTGAACCTGTGGTCGATTAACTCAGCCATGGATACCGGAGGCTAAACCTATTAAAACATGTGTTTAGCTCACTTCCATTTCAAGTAAATTTGTTTGGTGAAAAGATTTGCTTTACTAGGACATTCCTGTTGGTGCTGTCTCCGAGGCAATCTCCTTCGACTCGGGTGAAAGCCAATCGACAATTGGTGGGATTGACCTTAGAATCTCTTTATCAAGCACTATCAACCGAAATGGAAGTAAGCTCAACAACAATATACTATTAAACATGTAGATACTTCATACTTAACATGTTGTATTCCGGATAATTTCATTAAAATGTTTCGCATAGTTATGCTAAATACAACGATGAAGTTATGGAGTCCGGCCCTAGTAATGTTTTTTGCTTTGTTGGTTGTACATATACACTCATTTGATCCATTTTGTGCCTGTGGTTCTATGTTTTATGCTTATTTTCGTATTTTATTGCGAATTTCAATCTTAATGATCTACATTTGGGTGTCAAGGAACCGAAGGAACTGGGTTCAAGCCATAAGTCAGTCTAGAATTATGGCCTGTCAATTCGTTATTTGCCTTGAAACAACACAGCACTTCAACCTGGTTAGTCAGTTTATTTTCCCCCTTTATTCTGTCCCAAAGTTTGAGACTTTCGTAGTACTGAGAGATGCTTTACCCACTCATGCTTTGCGTCCACTTCATCTCTCGTCAGCCAACCGGTCGTCAGCTTCATTCGGACTCCAAACTCTTCAACCATCCACACCGACTGGGTCGTTCCACTCTCGCTCTGCTTCCGCCACCCTCTCCTCCGCCGCCGCTCATTTCGCCGCAAATGACTTTCACACGATTCTTCGAGCCCTCCTTCGACAACCTGTCGAATCCGGCACAAATGCTATGGCCCGGCAACGGTGACGCAGATCTACTTGGCCTGACCAATCTGGGTCCCGGATGGATTCAAGCGATGAACGAAGTACCAATCAACAGACGTGAAGCGATCAACCTTTTGGGTTAGTTGCAGTATTTTAGAAGGAGAATTATACATCTTTGTGAGAACTATGCCTGCAACAGTTGAGCTTGGTGACGCAAGGCCGGGAAATTGAGATGTCCTCAATGAAATAAACAAGATTGCTCACGATGTATTTGGGTTTCATTTGGTCTTGTCTTCTAAGGGGCAATCTCTCCTAACCTTGAATGCAGTTTCAAGTTCTTCTGAGCAGGCCGTGTCATAA